CCTAGTAAACAGAAACTAAGGACACTGAGAAAAAAGTTCCCCAGACACTCTGGGTGACAGGGCCCTGAGCGAGCACATGGCCGTCAACGGCTGGCGCAGAGCCGAGGAGGAGGAACTTCGTAAGAGGCAGTTTCTGAGCCCGCCGAACAGTCCTGAAGTCACAGATGAAAGGCCAACTGCGCTTCATGACGTGGTGGGGAGTGTTGGGTTGGCCGAAAAGCTTGTTTAGCTTTTTCTGTGCAATGGCTCTAGTTTAAGTAAATGGTGAAGTGATTTTGTTAGATTGGATAGTGACAGCTCTTGTATCAGCGTGCATTTTTTTAAAAACATCGAAATTGGTGAATTTTTGTGTAGCCATTTTAATATTGGAGAAGAAAATATGCAACATTGCCAGCATATTATGCTTTATTATTTCAAGAAAGGTAGAAGCACAACTGAAATGCAAAAAAAGAAAGATTTGTGCAGTGTATGGAGAAGGTGCTGTGACCAATTGAACGTGTCAAAAGTGGTTTGTGAAGCTTCTTGATCCCATTGACATTTTGGCCAAATCCCTGCTGTGGGGCGGTCTACGCATTGGCAGATGTTCAGCAGCAGCCCTGGCCTCTACCCACTGACATATTCAGAATATCCAGATCAATTTATTGGGTATTCTGCCCCGCCCCCCAGAGCCATCCAAAGTTATTGCTGAAAATAAAAAATTTATTTTATGGAAAAAGCCAAATGGATTTTTTAGCCAATCCAATATATAACATCACCTATGAGGCGGGGGACCCAAAGAAACCCAGGAATTAATTTATAAAAAATTGCGTATTTATTCTTACGTGTTCAAACTTCACCCACCTTCAAAGGCCTCTCCATTTGATGCAATACACCTACTGAGACCTTTTTCCACTGCTCAAAATCATTTTTGAACTCATCGATTTTGATGCCTTTCAGTGATTCTGTCTTTGGCGTCACTTCTTCCACATTGGGAAACTTTTCCCTTTGAGGACTGTTTTTAATCACGGAACCAAACAAACAAAAAATGTCGCTGAGGGCAAGATCAGGTGAACAGGGAGCGAGGGGCACAGGGGTCGCGCTATTTTCGGTCAAACACTGCTGCACACTCACGGCGGTGTTGGCAGGTGTGCTTCTAAATCGCCCATCGTGACATGGGCGAACCCACTGAGAGTCTTCAAAAAATTCACTGAAGCCAAACACAGCCTCCCACACCACCAGCAGCTGGTGCCCACACACGGATGGGTTCCTAACACACTCACGAAGCAGGGGACGCCTGTTCTACAAGAGGCCCGGCCTCCCGAAGATAACTCCGGGTTTTTTGGGTCCCCCCGCCCCCCAGTATAAAGGCTTGATTTAAAACAATGAAGTTTGAATATGATCAAGGTTTTAAACGTGACTACCCGTCTACTCACTCTACCAAGTCTGCGCTCTTTCCTCTGGGGCTGCTGAAGCCGCTGTTCCGTTAGCTTAGTGGTCAGCTAGGGATCTCACAGAGAGTTCTTTATCTAATGCCTGGACGCGTACAGTTAAAAACGGAGAAGGAAAACCCCAGGCGCTCTCCCTCCCTGGAGCACGCACGTGCCCCTCCCTTTGGCCCCCGCGTCCGCTCCCAGGGCGCTGTCTTTGCCTCCCTCTGTCAGCTCCAAGCACCCTTCTTTTGCCTCCGTAACTTGTTTCCTGGGCCCATTTCTTCTACAGCTCACTTTTACTTCTGTGACTTTCTAAATAAACTTTTGCTTATACTTTGGGGAAAAAAAAAGCCAAAACGGAAACAATTCTCCCCGTCTTTGCCCATGAGTCGTTTCGGGGCACTCCCTCAGTGCTCAGTCACATGGTGTGCAGGTGGCCTTGGCCTTCACTTCCCGCTGGCACGGAGTCTAAAGACCAGCCAGACAGGAGAGCTCAGGGTCGTCTTCGGTGTTTTCTGAGCGCATGTCCAGACCCGGGGCCGCACAAGGCGGTCCAGGTCCCCCAGAATAAGACAGAGCTACTCAAAACCCTTCCGCCTCCAAGCGCCTGCCTCCCCGGCCTCTCCTTTGTAGGCCTTTAGATCCGTTCATTGCTCCCTGTGACTGGCGGCAGCAGCGGACACAGGCGCTTTAAGCACTTTGGGCAAACACTTTCCGGGAGGCAGCCCTGGGATGGCTCTGAGGCCGGCAAGCCAAAGGCAGCCCCTTCGGCCGAGCCTTCAGAGAACCACCAGACAGGGGAGGCATTACAAGCCCTTGCGGACAAGCCCCACTCGCTCCCGTTGGTGTTAGCCGCCGCGTGAAGAAGATGGGCTGCCACCTTCATGGCCGCTTCTGAGCTGGCCAGCCGGGGACGGTCGCAGAGACATTTTACCAAAACGTGCCAGTCTTTTCTTAAGTGCTCCCTGTATTGTTGCGAATTATTAGATTCCAGAGTTCAAAAAAAAAGAAAAGAAAAGAGCTGATTCTGGGAGTTTCTCCAGCTTATTTCGCTTTTGCACAGGGACCGTCTGTAAGTCCCCATCTCTGCCTTTTCACCGATGTCGCTCCATACTGTTGACTCTGTTTTTCAGCCACGCCTAAGATTATTGTCTCAGCGTGGAAACCAGAGAAAGAAGAGAATTTTGCCACCCCTGACGCTGTCCAGAAAACATCCTGCGGATTTGAAGGCCGGCCAAGAAGCTGTTGCCAAAGTTTTTGAGTCAGGATACTATCAGCAAAATGACTGTTGTCTGCCTTCACGGCAACACGGAGGCTCCTCAACTTACCCTGGGGTTATGTCCCAATTAACCCACGGGAAGCTGAAGTATCACGTCCTGCAAACCAACCTACCAAGCAGCGTGGCTAAACCTGGCCTACCTTACAAGTGTTCACCACGCATCCATTAACCCACAGCTGGGCAGACCCAGCTAACCCCGTAGCAAATTGGTGGTTTGCCCTCGTGGTCACGCTGCTAACAGGGACCTGCAGCATGAGTGAGCATTGTACCCCGTGTCCCTAGCCTGGAAAAGATCAAAATTCAAAATTCGAAGTACAGTTTCTACTGAATGTGTATCACTTTCACACCAGTGCAAGGTGAAATAATCTTAACTCAAGCCATCGAAAGTCGGGACCCTTTATATTCCTTATGAGACAGGAGAGCGAGAAGCGGGGAACATTCCAGGGCAAGCGGAATGGGGAAACTGAGGCAAGAATGTGAACCAGCCCAAACAGCTTGAGCAACTTAGAGCCAGGAGATGAATCCCAAGTCCTTGCCTCCCCTCACCAAGGACCCTGGGAGCCAAGGTGCACACCCCTACCCCGACCTGAGAGTGCTTAGCTTCGCGGCCACGAGCCACAGGTGTCGGGAAGAGAGGAAAGGTCATGCACAGAACAGGTGACGCCGAACAAAGGGAGCGAGCGAGCTGGGCAAGAGGCTGCCCCCTCCCCGGTCAGCCCCCCGCCCTTACGCCCAAGAGAAACAGCTGGTCCGCGCTCCCCCTGGGAGCTTCCCCGCCCACATTCCCACGTCTCCCCTACAGCAACTTGCTTCTGAACGCTCCAGGGACGGTGGACCCGGCACCTGCGCAGATCGCTGGCCTCGGGTGGTAATGAAAGCGCAATTTTGGTTCCATCCCTGTCTGTTTTTCAGCTGAGCGGTGACAGGCAGCACTCGGTTGCCCTCCGGTTTCAGTTTTATCACCTACTATGCATTTATGGAGCCTCCAGTAACGAGGTGAGGTCTAGTGCTGTTTGGGAGCACAAGCTTTGGAACGAGACCTGTTTGAATTCCGGCTCACCTGCCTCTAATAGTCGTTTGGCCTTGGGTGAAGTCACTTAGATGTTCTAGGACTGTTTCCTAACCTGTCACATAGGGATAATAGACACTTCTAGGATCACAGGGAAGATTGAAAGATATATGTAAAATGCTTGGCACTCAACATTAGCTGTTTTATCTGGATTTGTTTACTTGGGTTATCACACTACTGTACACTGTTGGGGTTTTTCTGGTTTTAAGAAAAAGGCCACTGGCTTCCTACGGAGGATACACTTAGGTTTTTCCATACACTCTTCAGAGGACTTACTTTTTTATTTTTTACTGTTCAAATACATTTGCCTACATTTTCCCACCGCCTGTTTCCCCTGCCCCACTCACCCCCACCTCCCACCCTCAATCCTTCCCCACTTGGCTTTGTCCGTGGGTCCAAAGAGGACTTACCTTGAGCTGGCTTTTTGTAACAAGCACAGTGATTTTACTTAGATCGTACGTTTATTTGAGGGAGCTTTGTAGAAATGGCTAGGGATGGGGAGAGAGTGCTAAAATCCTCCCGAATCTCCTCTCTTAGCTTCAAGCAGAGATTTCCCACCCATGTGCGTCACAAGAATTTTTAAAACATGCAACACCAGACTCTTTGGCAAGGGGCACCGACTTTCCCCTTAACTGTCAAATAAAGAAACGACAACAGCCAACACAACTATAGCCTGTTGGGTGTGAGTAAATCAAAATTATACTTATCTCATATTTTTGTCAGATCAGCATAAAATACATTTTTGGTGTGCCACAGAGTTTTAGAAGTTTATGTGTGTGGTGACATGAAAAAGGTTAACGTCTCCGGCCTAGCGATGAACTGCGCTACACATTTAGAAGGGGGGAAAGGCAACAGGGTCCAAACGAGGGGGAGGGGTGCTGACCTAGCACTTTCCTCCAAACCCGCTTCCCTCCGGGGCACTGGGTTCGAGCGGCACCAGCCGGAGCGCAGGTTACCACCTGGGAAGCCTGGGCCAGAGAGCACAGGAGTCACGTGGCCTCGGGCTGTAAGGAGGTGTCACCGCCGGCCACCTCCCTTTTAAACGCCTTGGAGCCTCAGGGCAGGCACGTGACACATGGGTCAGCAGGAGACGCAAGGAAAGGCGCGCGCCCCACGCTGAGAACCGCGAGCAACTGTGCGGGGGTCCTCCCCGGGCCGGGGGCGCGGGGCCATCGCAGGGGCCTCTGGGAGTTGTAGTCCGCAGCGCGGCCCAGCGCTCTCCCAACTCCATTCCCCGACGGCCCCCGCGGCCACTTCCTGCTCACGGGACTCGAAGCCGGGGTACCCCCGGGTCCCAGGATCTGGGAAGCGTTCCCTCCCTCCTGCCCAGCTCCGGGGGCTGAGGGCTTGCCTGGATCAGGTAAAGCATGTTCTCTGGTCTTGCAACCAGCGTTGCGGCGCGTTCCGGGCGGGGGCGAAGGGGCAGCGGCGGAAGGGCTGAGCCGGCGGAAACAGCGGAGCGGCCGGTGGCGCTGGCTGTCAGTCGAGGAAGTTCTCGGGCCGCTCGTGGAGCATTGGCTCCTCGGGGGAGCGGTGAGGCCGGAGCCGGGGCGGAGATCGCTCCCGAGGGGGGCGCGCGCGGCTCCCGGAGCGCGGGTGCGAGCACAGCCGGGAGGGGCAGTGGGAGTGCGTGTCCGCCGCGGGCCCAGGCAGGCCGGGCTATCTTGGGTGCACACCTGGCCGAGACGAAGGAGGGGCTGCAGGAGGTCGGGGCTGCGGGAATGGGAGCGTGATTCTCTATTCCAGCAGAGAAGAGGCGCAGAGCGGGACGCTGGGAAGCCCCTTGTGCCTGAGCTAGGGCTGCGGGTCGGGGGAGGCCAGAGAGGTGCATCCCCCGCAGGTTTGGCTGGGCCCGGCGGGGAGCGGCTTGGCCTCAGCCTGAGAGGACCGGCAGACCTTGGAGGGACTGCGGTCCCGCAGAAGACCCCTGCAACTCAGCGAGCCACTTGAATTTTTTGGTTTTCCGGTGCATAGTTCTGTTTACACCGTGCTGTAGTGTACTGAGTGTGTAATAGCATTACATCTAACAAATGTGCATATCATAGCTGAAAATATTTTATTGCTAAAAAATGCTAACGAACCTCTGAGCCTTCCGCAGATAATGTCTTTTGCCTCCATGGTGACAGCTGTGGATGGTGTTGCTCAAGGCTGGGGTGGCTGTGACAATTCTTAAAATGACGGTGGAGTGCGCTACACGGATTGACTCCTTTCACAAACAATTCCTGTGTGGTATGCGATGCTGTCGTTCTTTTTTTTTTTTTTTTTTTTTAACATTTTACCTGCAATAGACCTTCTTTGAAAATTGGAGTGAGTCCTCCCAAACCTGCTGTTGCTTCCTCAGCTAAAGGCATGTGACATTCTAAGCCCTTTGTTGTCATTTCAACAATCTTCACAGCATCTTCACCAGGGCAGATTCCATCTCAAGGAACCACTGGCTTTGCTCATCCGGAAGGAGCAACTCCTCGCCCATTAAAGTTTTGTCATGAGACCGCAGCCTCGTGGCCCCTCCTCAGGCTCCGCTTCTAATTCTAGTTCTCTTGCCGTCTCCGCCACGTCTGCAGCTGCCTCTTCCTCTGAAGTTGAGAACCCCTCAAAGGCGCGCATGAGAGTTGAGATCAGCTTCTCCCGACCTCCTGTTGATGTCGGTAGTCTGACCTCGTCCCAGGGATCACGCATGTCCTTAACGGCATGGGGAACGGTGACTTCTTTCTAAAAGGTTCCGATTTACTTTGCCTGGACCCACCAGAGGAGTCACTACCAACGGCAGCTGTAGCCTTGCAAAACACGTTTCTTGAGTGGTAAGACCTGAAGGTTGAAATTGCTCCTTGATCCGTGGGCTGCAGCACGGATGCGGGGTTAGCAAGAAAACAGCATTGACCTCGTTGTCCCATCTCCATCAGAGCTCTTGGGAGACCCGGTGCCTCATCAATGAGCAGTCATATTTTGAAAGGAATCTTTTTTGCTGAGCAGTGGGTCTCAAGAGCGGGCTCAAAATATTCAGTAAACCATGCTGTAAACAGATGTGCTGCCAGCAGGCTTTGCTGCTCCATTTATTAAGCAGAGGCAGACTAGACTGAGGATATTCTTCGGGGCCCTGGGATTTTTAGAGTGGAAAGTGAGCACTGGCTTCATTAAAGTTAAAGTCCGCAGCTGCATGAGCCCCTCGCCAGAGAGCCAGCCCGTCTCCCGAGGCGTGGAAGCCAGGCCCTGGCCTCTGCTCTGTGGCTAGGGAAGTCCCAGCGTCTTCCAGTGTAAGGCTTCTCGTCTGCGCAGAAGATCGGCGGTGCAGCTGCTTTCATTCATTGTCTTAGCCAGATCTTCTGGGGAACTTGCTGCCACTTCTGCATCAGTGTTTGCTGCTCCCCCTGCGTTTTTATGTGACGGCTCATTTCCTTAAACCGTACCAGCCAGCCTCTGCTGGCTCCAGACTTTCCGTCTGCAGCCTCCTCATCTCTGTCAGCCCTCACAGAGCAGAGGAGAGGCAGGGCCTTCCTCGGGATTAGGCTTTGGCTTATGGGAAGGTGGGTGCTGGTTTGGTCTTCTCTCCAGCCCATTAACACTTCCTCTGTATCGGCAAATGTGGTAAATAGAGAAGAGGTACAAGCCTGAGCCTTGGGACGCTGCAATTTGAAGAAGTCTGAGAGACAAGGAGCAAAGAGTAGAAGAGGCAGAGGACGAGGGGGGACCAGAGAGTGTAGATTCCATCTAGCCCATTGAATTCACTATGCCTAGTGAATCTAGCATGTTAAGGAGGAGAATGATCCCTTGTGGCACATGTTTCTGATCGGGCAAATAAGTTGAAGCTCGGGCACTGACCCTGCCTGGGGTTTGCCCATCCGGTGCCACTGGCGACCCGGCAAGAGCAGCCTCTGTGAGGACGAGGGCAGTGGCCTCGTTCGCATGGGCTTAAGAAAGAATGGTGGATCCCGTCTATTTCATGCTTTCTAGTGTATGTCCTACCTCTTTCATGTGTTTTTTTTTTTTTCTTCTTTCTTGCCCCCTTTTAGGCCAATGAATTTTTATCATTCTCTTTTCCCCCTCTACTAGATTTTAAGTTACACACCCTTTTATGTTAGTAGTTACCTTTATTGCTCTGGACAATACAGGGACCTTTGAATGCCTTAATTCCAAGACTTTCTCTTGACTCATTCTCTTTGGTCTGGAGTTTTTGTTCCTTTTTTCAACCCTGTAATATATTGTTTATTAATTCTGATGGAATTCATTACACTTCCTGAGTCTGCATATTATCTTTTTTGAATTCTAGAAATTTCTCAGCCATTGTCTCCTCCAGTATTGCCTCTGCTGGCTCCTCTCTGGTTCTCCAATTACATGCCTGTTAGACCTTCTCACTGCATCTCCCATGTCTAACTGCTTCCACATTTTCTGTCTTTTCCCCCATCTCTCTGCCACTTCTGGATAGTTTCCTCAGATTTAACCGTATAGTTTCTTCATTTTCTTGTCAACTTTTAAACCCATTTATTGAGTTTTACATTTTGGCTATTTTTTTTTTTTAATTTGGGCCTAGAAATTCACTCCGGTCCTTTGCAAACATGCTAAGTTACTTTTTGAAAGTGTGCCCTTTTTCTTTATTTAAACATAGGAAGCATATTGTTTTGTAATTTTATTCTGATAATTGCTATAGTCGAAGTCCCCATGGGCCAATTTCCACTATTGTTTCTTCTGCTTCTCGCTAACGGGACCTGTTTCTTCGGGCTGGCTGTGACCGTGCACTATCCATTGTCCTTGAAGGATTGTCAGCAAGCGGTCTTAGGGCCCCGGTGAGGGGCGTCCCTTCAGAAAAGACGCACATCCTGCCAGTTGCCTAGCAATCCCCTAAGCGTCCTTGGAGCACCTGCAGATCCGCATGGAGTGCGGTTCTCAGGGACGCGACGTCCCCTGCCCCGTGCGTGCACAGGGGTGGCAGGTGTGCACCCCCACGCTGTGCTCGGTGCCAACAAAGCACATCTGCGGGCCCCTCGTGGGGAAGTGAAGCAGTTTTAGTTCCTGTCGGCCCCAGTGGGATGTGCCGCTGTGCACGGCTGTGCACGGGCCCAGCCCCGTTGCGGCGGGGAGAGTCTCACCGGTCGCTCATCGCTGGGAGCGACCCCGCGCTTTGCCTTGTGTTTTCTTCACACTTCGCAAGGCCTTGAGGCTTCAGCCCCGCTTCTCCCCGGGACAGCCAGTCCCCGCAGAGCGGGAGCGACCCCGTTAGGCCGGTTGCCTCTCGAGGTTCCTGAACTCTGCTGCAAATGGCCTGATTTTTCTCACTGGTTTTGAAACTTGCCAAAAAATATTTTTAATATTTTACTCAGTATTTTTAGTTGTTTTCTGCAGAAAAATGGGTCCAAATAGCCTCATTTGTTTTATTCCTGGAAATGGCTTGGTCCACGTATGTTGTAGTGAGCTGAAAATAAGCATTAACTTCATTTCACCGTAGCAAGTTTCTGATAAAATAGGTGTTTTGGGCAATACTGCATTGAGATATCTTCAGCAAATCCCTGGGTTTTTCCAGTTCCTTATGTACGTAAATGTATTATTTGTTAAGAGTAAAAACTTTAAGTGGTCTGTCTGCTCTGATTTATGTAGGACTGACTTCCTCAGTGCTGAGAGTCTGAGAAAGGCAGCAGACATGGACAGCGACTCCAGGCGCCTTCTCGCCCCTGAGGAGGACCATGGCGTATACCCTGGACCCATGAACATTCAGTTTGATTCATCAGATCTAAGATCCAAAAGGTACGTTTAAAATAAAACACTTATTTCATAATTAGGGCTTTTCATTATTAAAGTAGAACTAATTATAAGTAAACGTATATAGCTTTAATCATAAAATCTTCAGTTTCTTATAGGATCTGTATGGTTATGGTGGGAGGGAGTAAATATGAATACTATTTCCTCATTTATATTTGACTTTTTCAACTAAACTCAACATCTCCCTGGAGATGGTTAGTTTTATGAAGTCAAATGCATTTATGTAAGTCATTTATCAAATATATATTGATTACCTGCTTTGCGCAAGGGAATATGCTAGATGCTGAGGGTGGAACGGTGAGGGTAATACACCATCCTGACCTTCATGGAGCTCAAATTCCAGCACATGACTTAAGATGTGAGTTTAAAGTTTATTTCACTGCACCCTTGGAAAACCCGGAAGAAGACACTGGAAAATTGTGACGACTACTAAGAGAATTCAGGAAGGTGACTGTTTACAAATAGGCAAAAATAGAACGCATTCTGATGGGGAAATGTAATGGGAGAATAGATGAAATACACAGGGGCAGCTTCAAGAATGTGCAAAATCTGTGTGCGAGCAACTGAAGCGCCGCTGAGGGACCTCAGTGAGGATCGGGGGCATCTCTTCAAATCCGAGACTGAGGTGCACTGTGTGCAGGTGACACAGACTGAGATGCAGATGCCCCCGCAGAGGTGAACCTCTGCCAGGGCCTCCAAGGGGGTCTTCTCTAAGGACTTCGTTTTTCGTTGTCTTGGTATTTTATTTACTGAGGAACTCTCCGCCGTATTTGGTATTTTATCCTGGGTCGTGTATCTTCTGAGCAACTATAAATGTGAAAATAGAAACACTGTAACAGTGAGGGTATTACTACTCTACCACTTTGGAGTCACCAAAATCAGCGTTTTTCCATCCATACAAAATTGTCCTTTGTACCATTAAGAGCACTGATAATGTAGCATTTCTAGAAAGAATTTTCTTCCAAATCACTGACACTTTTTGTTTCGGTGCTTGCACTTTCCCAAACTCACCAGAAGGTGTCACCAAAGGTCACCCAACGACAGCATGGCTCCTATTCCTTCCGCAGACGTGGAGACGCCAGGCAGCAGCAGGGATGGCGTTTCTCTGCGGTGCCGCCAGGAGGCTCTCGGTGATGAAACGTTGTCCAGGGTTATGAGATGCATCCGTAGTGGAGAAATGTTTCAATGTGATACGGTACTAGATTTAGTAACATGTGACATGTAGCATAAAGGCGTATTCTGCTCTCAGTGGGAAGGCAAGAATAAAATGTCCTGCTCTTTACATTTTAACTCATAAGTTTAATGTGATTCCCCCCCAAAACACCAGCAGCCAGTTCCAGAGTTTATATAACCCAGCAGTTTCACTTCAAAGCATTAATTCTCAATGTCAAATAATATGTGCATGAGGTTGTTTAATGCACTGTGGGTTTTTTTTTTTATACTAGCAAAAGATTGAAAAAAACAAAATGTCTTTTCCTACAGGACTAGATAAATAAATTATAGCATATTGATACAATGCCATATTTTCTCCCATTAAAAAGAAAGAAGCAGCTTTATTACATATCAAAATAGAACAAGGCTTCAACTTACTTTTTTATGTGAAAAAGTGAAGTGCAGAGCAGTGTATAATGCACCGCCATTTGGGTAAAAAATAAATCAGTAAGTTAAACGCAGTGCAGCAGGCGCCGGCGGCTGCGCGGGAATGAATGGGAGGCTGCCGTCGCGGCGGCGCCTCGGAGAGAAGCCGGGCGGGGGTGGGTGAGGCGGGGGCTCTGCTAGATTAGAGCCCGGCAGGCAGTCAGCAGCCGGCCCCCCCCCGCCCCCGTTCTTGGCCAGCAGAGCCCCGACTTTGTTAAGGGCTGTAGGAAGCTCCCATCCAGGAGGTGAAGGGGGACTGTGGAAGCTGGTCTCGGGGACCCCCTTTCCGCCTTCCAGACACAGCCACGCGCCACTTACTGCCAGCGCTACTTCCGAGAACCGTGCGGCGGGCGCGGTCTGTGCACAGGTGTCCCGCGTGCCCTCACACCGGCCTTGGCCGCCCGGCCCTGCCCCGAGGGACGGCCCCACCTGTCGCTCCGAGGCAGCCCACCTGCGCGGCGGGTCGCTCTGCGCCAGATGGGCCGTCCTGGGTGACGGGGTTGTCCAGCCCCGTGGCGGCCCCTGGGGACCGTCACGTTTGCGGTGGGTCGCTGACCAAGGGTAGTTGCGCTGCACATGCCTGTACTTAATTTTTCAGTCTTTCTCTCAGCCTGAGGTGGCCGTGTGAAGCTTATCATGTGGGAAGTTTATCATCGTCATATACAGGGGCCACCAGAAAAGCTGCCAGAATGAGTCTTGCGGTTCTCACTTGCGTGCGCCAGCGTCCGCGTCTGCGAGGACTAGTGAATGCGGACGGAGTTCTATGACAAACAATTGGCCCCTCTGACAGCGGGCTACAGGTCAGCGCAGGGCATTCCGCTGCAGGGAGCCGGCAGGAGTCCAGGGAGGTCTCTGAGAATCTGTCCAACCAGGGGGATTGAATGGCAGTGTATTTTCTATAATGAAACTTGTCAAAACGAGAGGGAATCAGCTATTTACAATCATGGGATAACCACCCAGGTAAGACGTTTTAAGAAAGCCAGATATTTAAACAGACTTAGCAGTGCTGAATGCTGATTTGCCTGTGAAATGATTTATGTTGAAAATAGAAACTGTTATTTGGCGAAGGAAAAAGGAATACTTTAAACATTGTCGTTTCTGTTAGAATAGGAGCTACTTCACTCTTCATAGGTAAATAAATGGCAGACACACTAAGGGCAATTTATTTTCTGTTGGAAGAACCAGCTCAGCCGACTGTTTCCAAAACGGCAGTCATTTTGGAGTGACCGTGTGGCTGGCAATATCCCAGCACCGCCTGTAAAATACCGCATTTTAATGTGTTTTTTAGTTATTTTAAAAATTAGGGTTAAGTCAGCCTCTTCTCCACACATTTGTGCATTGGCAGGAGTGTCGCCCGCATCTTCTAACATGCGCGGCCGGAAATGCCAGGCGGGTGACAGGAGCGTCCGCCCCGCGCGGCCCGGCAGCATCTCCCAGGCGCCCATGCCGCGGAGAGCCGCCGTGAGCGGCCGAGACGTTGAGGCACAGACCTCGGCTGAGTCAAGCCGAAGGTCTCGCCGGCCCGAGTGGCGACTCCGGTGTCGGGCAGCACCCTGTCCAGCCCACAGCAGGAGCTCCGAGGGGCTTTGGACGTGGAGGCTTGTGTCTTCCGAAAGGGGTCACGGTGAGGGAGGGGCGGCGAGAGAGCCGGCTGTGTCTGGCAGCCAGGGGACCTCCCTGCGGAGGAAGGCGGGCCCTCCAGCCCGGGCGGCGCTGTCGTGGCCAGGTAACCCGGAGTGGCTGGGGGAAGGTTGCCTGCCTGGCAGAGGCTGAGATGCAGCGATGGGTGTTAGGCTGGTTTGCTGGGCGGGACCGAGCAGCCGTCCTTCGCGTGGGCCTGTGTGGCGGCTTTGACAGTGCAGGCAGCAGCACGTGGCACCGGAGCGCTCTCGCCTGCGGTTCGGCTCCTGGCTCACCCTGTCTCCCTCCTGGGGGGCAGTCCCTACCGCCTGTCGCCTCTAATTAAAGAAGGGGGTCTGCCTGTCTTTTTGGTGGTACCGGGTCCTGGTCAGACTCACGCGGAGGAAGGTGCTGGTCCCCATTTGGATCGTGGGGACTCCTGCAAACTACACGAGTCCGTGCCCCTCTGCACGGCCGTCCTCCCCCCGCCCCCCCCCACCAGTCTTTCACAGGCGTGCATGGGGCAAGGACAGAAGTGGGGGGCCATCTCTCTGCAGGACCTGCCGCATTCTGCGGGAGCAGGCGGCCACCCCGGCTGTGCGGCCTTGCCTGCCGGCAGGTGAGCAGGGCAGAGCCGGAGCGTGGGACCACCCACGCCCCGCGGCCGCCCCGCGAGTGTCCGTGCGGGCCAGCCCGAACCCCGGCTCTGAAGGGCTGTTTGTTCTGGAGCTGGCCTTTTCGGGTCTGTCCGGCTCCGCTCCCTTTCTGTTTTCCCCAGAGCCTGGGGCTCCAGCCCTTCTCCGCGCCCGGCGTGAGCTCTCCGGGGAGCCCGCAGTGCCCTGTGAGCCATCCCTCCCCACCCCCAGTCACCAGCACTGATCGGCCCCGGCGCCGGTTAGGGTCGCGGGGGTGAAAACTCTGCCCACCCCTTCCCACGGCGCTTTGCCTTTTAACGTGGAGAGTTACAGAAATCTCCACGTCCGACCTCAGAGCGAGGTTTTGCTCGTGGCAGCTTCAAGGGCCCTGGTCGGCCAGGGGTGGGGGTGGACACGTCACTCAGGCAGCCCCCCTGTGCCCTCAGACGCGCGCGAGCCCTGCGACCCCTGGTTTTCAGAGTGGCTGCGGTGGGCGCGTCTGTCCGGTGGCATTTCTCACGGCCCTTTGTCGGGGGTGCTGTCCTTGACTGGCAGTTGACTCTTTTTGGTTCTGGGAGAGAGAGCGAGAGACAAAGCAAGCGAGTCCCTCTGTTAGCCCACTGGCCGTGCCTGGAAGTGCTCCCTGGGGCGTTGCGGTTTCGCAGTCGGGGATCACACAGATCGGCACAGGAGACGGCAGAGCCCTGTCCCAGGAGGGCCCGTTTCCAGAGCTGCACGAGTTGCATTTGCAGGAACTTGTCATCCATGTTAAGTAGAGGGGACGAGGACCTGGACTGTGACCGGTGCCAGGGAGCCGCCGGCCAACTTGCTGGTGGTGCTGCCCCTCTGCGCCCTCCCCTCCCCTCCCCCCTCCCCCTCCCCCCTCCCTGCCCCCCTCTTTATCTCTTCAGTCCTCTTCCCTCACCTCTCTTCTCCCCACTTTCCACCATTGTCTTTCCCCAGCGTGACCTTTTGCCAAGCACTTGAAGAAGACCATCCTGGCCACGCGCTAGAGATGCTCTGCACTGTAGCGATGTCATTCACGTAGACACACGTGGCTGTGTTCGAGTGGGGTCTGATTTCCCATCCCAT